ATGCCGTGCTCCGCACAGTAGGCTGCCAAGAGGTCAGAGGAGAACTCACCACCTCTGTCAGAGTGCAGACGCAGGACAGGAAAGTCCGAGTGGAACCGCTCACTAAGCTGGAGACGAGAAGCGCGGATCCAAGGGATCAAAACATCAGGGACCTCACCCTTGGTGCGCAAGGGGAAGACCGTGGTGTAGCGCGAGTTGTCGTCAACAACGATCAGGAAGTACCTCTCCTGACCCTGTCCACGGACGCGGGCTGGGCCCCACACGTCCATGTGGAGCGTCTGCAAGGGAGCAGTCGTCGGGGGAAACGAGGAGGAGTGAGGAGCGGTGCGCTGCCGCCCCTCGACACAGGGAAGGCAGGGAGGAGCAGGCGAGGGTGGGAGTGGAGGGAGAACCCTGGGAAGACCAGAGACAAGGTATCGGTTGTGCATGGCACGAAGGCGCTGCACTGACGGGTGACCAAGACGGTGGTGCCAGAGGACAGTCTCGTGTGCCAGAGAGCGACACGAGCAGGGGGCAGACAGCTGACCTGACGCAGACGCAGACGCAGCTACCTGTGGGGACTCAGTGGTCAGTGTGTACAGGTCCGACCCCGGCTGCCGAGTGAAGGTAGCCAGGTGGCGGCCCGTCCGAGCGCACGTGCAGTGTGTCACACGCTCGTAGGCAGGGGTAAACTGGTGGACACCCCCGTCCTGGAGCGCACTACCCGCCACCAAGTTCGTAGAGAACGAGGGGAGGTAGAGACCTGACAGAGTGCCCGACAAGACCGCAGGACAAGGGAGAACAGTAGAGGAGGTCGCAATGACCGGACCCCCAGAGGGGTCAGCGAGGGAGACTGCAACCGGCCGAGCAAGCTGCTCAAGGGCAGTGCGGTCACGAAAGAAACAGCGGGAAGCGTCTAAGTCCAGTGTGAAGGTGTGCAGTGCCTCAGTAGACGCAGTACCAGAGGGCGCAGACTCACGAGTACCTAGAGCAGCAGCCTCACCAGCACCTGGGGCAACAGACACACGAGCACCTAGTGCAGCAGCCTCACCAGTACCTAGAGCAGCAGACTGGATACCGGGGTCAGGCGGCACACACAGGTGACAGGCACTCTCAGCACTAGTAGGAAATGCATACATGGCAGTGAGGATAGCATCATAGTCAAGAGCATAGATATCTACCCTCTGCCTAAGCAGCTCCACCCAGTCGGGGAGCTCAGCCGCGTCGCCAAACTCTGTACGCCAGGCGTCGCTCAGACGGGCGAAGCAGCGGGACTCTGTGTGACCAAACGTCCCGCAAGGCTGACCAGTCCGAGCACCAGTGCGAATGACGTACGGGCAGCGAGCAGTACCCCGTGACCCTCCACGCTGAGCGTACCACTCACGAAGCTGCTGGGGCGTGAGGGACTCACTCGGACGTCGCGGGAGCTGCATCTGGCCACCGCCAGGAGCAGCAGTAGCAGTAGTAGCAGCAGTAGTAGTAGCAGCAGCGCGGCCACCCCTACAACCCCAACCAGCATACCACTCACGAAGCTGTTGGGGCGTGAGGGACTCACGCGGACGGCGCTGGAGCTGCATCTGGCCACGCCAGGAGCAGCAGTAGAAGTAGAAAGAGCAGTAGCAGCAGGAGCAGCAGTAACAGCAATACGGGCAGGGCAGTGCTCACCAGTGGCGAGAAGGGCAGGCGTACGACGGTGGTAACGGCGAGGCCGCTACCACTGCAGGGCGAGGGCTCCGCGGCAGCTGCAGGGGCGGCTGCTCCAGGGGCCAGGGGCGGCTGCAGAGGTCCAGGGGCGGCTGCTGCAGGGGCGGCTGCTCCAGGGGCGGCTGCTCCAGGGGCCAGGGGCAGCTGCTCCCTTTTTTTTTTTTTTTAATAATTAATTATTTATTTTAGGGTTTGGCAGAGCGCACTCGGCGCTGCAGAGGCGGCTCGCGGGCTGCAGGGTGGCTCGGGCAGCAGCGAGGGGGGGGGGGGGCGGCGCGCGGCTCCCCAGGGCGCCGCGACGGGGGAGCGGGGGGGGGGGGGGGGGGGGGGGGGGGGGGGCGCGCGCGGCTCCCCAGGGCGTCGCGACGGGGCAGCGGGGGGGTCGCGCGTGGCTCCCTAGGGCGTCGCGACGGGTCAGCGGGGGCCGAGCGCGGCTCCCCAGGACGTCGCGACAGGGCAGCGGGGGCCGAGCGCGGCTCCCCAGGGCGTCGCGACGGGGCAGCGGGGGCCGAGCGCGGCTCCCCAGGGCGACGCGACGGGACAGCGGGGGTCGCGCGCGGCTCCGTAGGGCAGCGCGACGGGGCAGAGGCAGCGCCCACGGGCGACACGCGGCTCGGCAGGGCAGCGCGCTGGCTGCAGGGGCGGCTCTCGGGCCTGACGGGCCTGCAGAGGCGGCTCGGGGGGGCCTGACGGGTCTGCAGAGGCGGCTCGGGGGCCTGACGGACCTGCAGGGGCGGCTCGAGGGCCGTACTAGCTTGCAGGAGGCAGCGCGAGGGCTGCAGGACGGCACGCGGGCAGACCGAAGGGCGGGTCGCACGGGGGCGCACGAGGGCGCACGTAAGGTAGGGCGCACGAGGGCGCACGAGGGCGCACGTAAGGTAGGACGCACGAGGGCGCGTCTAGCGGAATAGTGGGCCCGTAGGAGAAAGCGGTCCTAGGTAGCAACCTAGGCTCGTGATACCATGTTAGAATGTAGAACTGAACGAGAATGTGTGAAACTAGGCAGCAGGGTGATACAAGTAGGAAACCCTAGCAATGTTGTACCCCCTAAGGCTAAACCCACTATAGCCTACACAATATGAACATGTATAATGTTTGACAAGCTCGCGTTCCAGTTCTTGCCGGCGTGATGCTTCTTCATCCACTCGCGGCTCCACTTCTGGGTGTCCTTCACCGAGATGGCCACCCCGTTAGCGCGCTGAAGGCAGATGTAGCGGTACAACGCTGCCTCCATGTCGGGGTAGTGTGAGTGGCGCCCCCCCCCCCGTGCATCCGCTTGCGGCAGTTAGCCGCGCCCTTGTAGACGCCCGCAGCCGCCTCCGCACTCCAGCGTCTGATGCAGGCGATGGATGCGGTTGACTCCACGCTCGTCTTCTTCAAGGAGCCGAGCTCCAGATAGCGGCGCGCCCACTTAAGCTTCTCACGCACGGTCCAGCTGCGGCGCTTCCTCGTAGTGTCCTTGCTGCGAGGGGAAGGTGGGCGGGTGTTGGGATTATGGAGGGTGGGGTCCTTCGGCGTGACCTTCTCAGGGAACGTGGGAATCGGGCCCGCCGCCGCCGCGTACTCATCGTCGCTGCCCAGAGTCTCGTTCACGACGATGTCGTCAGGATTCGGCGCCTTCTTCGCCTTCTTCTTAGCCGCACCCTTGCTAGATCCCGGGTCTCCGTCGGATGTCCGCTTCTTGTTGCTTGTGCGGCGACGAGCAGGGGCCTTAGCAGGGGTCTTAGCAGGGGCTTCCGCGACCTTGGCTTTTCCCTTCTCCGCAGCGGTGAGTTTCGGGCGACGCTCCTCCCCCGGACTGTCGTCGTCAGAGAGCACCACGCGGGCCCGCTTCGACTTGGACTGTAGGCGATGGCGCAGCCTCCGCTTCAGTAGCGGAACGTCGTCGTCTGTCCCAAGGCTCCATGGGTCGTCGTCGCCGCTTTCACCGTCAAATAAGACGGCATCCGCAGCAACCGTGTCCGACTCTGCCACAGCATCCGCATCCGCAACTGCGTTCGCGCCGTCTTCAGCCTCCTCATTCGCATCCATCGCCGCTTCCTGTGCATCCGCCGCTGCCTCCGCGTTGTCACCATTCGCATTTTCACCTCCGTCGTTGTCCGAATCTCCAGCCCGCCAGTCTTCCATCTCGTCGTCGCTCCCGACCGGCCGATTCCACCATTCGTCCTCCTCGATGTCGGCAGGACCTAATTCGTCGCCCGAAGCGCTGTCGTCGTGGCCGTTCTCCGGCCAATCCTCCTCGGCGTCGTCGACGTTCGCTTCTTCTCCGTCGTCCCCGTCACAGCTCGCACCGGAGGCCGCGGTAGGACTTCCCGCCTTGCTCGCGTTCTTCGCCATGGCTACACGGATGTCATCGCCGGGCGAGTTAATTCGCCCGTAGTTATTCACCTGCACGTGAGGACGAGGAGAGGACGAGCCTGGGGGTACTTTGCTGCGCATGGTTAGAAAGCCTTCCGAGAGCAAGGTTGAGACGAGTATTCCTAAACCCTTGAGCACCAAATGAAGTGAGAGGCCGACTACCCCCCCCAGCCAGAGTGCCCCATCCACAGGTGCCGAGCCGCTCCTCTACGAGGCATCTCCTCGTAGAGGACAGCCCTCACGCTGCCAACGTGCTGCCAGCAGCGTTCTGGAAGCATCCCTGCGCTGCTGGCAGCAAAACGACGCTGGCAGCATCATTAGATGCTGCCAGTACAGAGGAATATTGCCAGCGGTGGCAGCTCCCTCACGTGGCAAGTGTGGGCGTTGCATGCATCACCACCGAGGTCGGCATGTTTCAATGAATCTGGTCTCTGGGTGTTTTCTACACACTGTGCAAGTGTTACAGTCAACTTAATTTTTTTTTCCATTTATAAGACTTATAAGACACCCTAAATCATCCCGTTTACAAGATAACTCAAGCATTTTTGCCCGTGTACGAGATAAGACATATATGTCTTATATCCGGGCGATGACGGTTGGTGCGAGGGAGCCAAGCGGAACTGGCGAATTCCGCCAGTTTCGTGAGGAAGTTCGGTTGGGAAACAACCCTCGACGACTCTGCGATCATTTCGTGAGGTTGGGTTGGGGAGGGGATTGGCGAAATTATATAGCCAATCATGAGCAGGGAAATTTCAAGCGGGGGTTGTGCTGTCACAAAATGTGAAACAAGCCTCACCACGGAAGCAGAAGGCTACCTGGTTTTCAAGTGATAAACCAGAGCCTCTCCCGCCAGGTATGTAGGCGACAGCTTTAAAGCCAACTGGTAACTCTGCTTCACGGAATGCTGGATTGAAGACCCTGAAGAAATCCATGGCGGCGAGCTCTAGGTTCATTCGTTCATGGAGGACCAGTAGCACAACTCAATCAATCTCTCATTAGGGATTTGTAAATCCTTACAATGTATAGTTAGGAAATTGGGAATTTCATTACACGAGCACATGTACGCCATTGTCGTAACATTCGGTAGCATATTTCCTCGTTCGCTTCCATGATCAAGGATTTCGCGCCCATGTTCAAACCCGTCGGCGAACACTGCGCCACTTGTGGCCTTCAGCACCTTCACAACTCCAAGGTTCGCAGCACTTGCGAACATGTAGAAGTGCCTTGCCTGACACACCATTGTCGTTGGAGCAGCTCGTGCGGGTCAATTCGACAAACGAAGCGCGAAACGCGCAGTCCCTCCCTCACGAAAACCCAATGTTACCCTCTCGCCAACTAAGTCAACTCTGTTCACATCTCGCCAATGGAGAGGGCCCAGAAACGCGATTCGACTTGAAAGGTCAGGTCGAGCGAGACCAAATCCGAAGCGCATTTTCTAGTACAACCTACCTACCAACCTACCTTTGCTGTGGAAACGGCGAAAGCTGCCTGTTATCCATAAATTCCTGCCGCTGACGACTAGGTCAACTCTTCATGCGTTACTTTCCCTACTTTGATGCTGCCTTTGTCGCCCACGCGAAGCTCCACCACCATGGAAGCCCACTACAACCGCAATCATAGGCTCCTTCGCGCGGCCCTCTCCGCTCTCCTCGTGCTCTCCTACACATCCCTTGCTTGTGCTCAAGACAAATCAAATCCCCCGTTCGTCAAGGCGCCCATCACCGATACACAATGGCACAAGGGAAGCGCCACATTCTACGGCAACGAGATGCTGCAGGGCAACTCGGGCAACTGCGGGTTTCCATACCGGTTCGTGGATAACGTGACCCAAGTGGCCGTTCCCGACCCGCGCTGGTCGCAATCGCTGTCGAATGGCGTGCAGGCCTTTAAGGGCGCGGCGTGCGGGCAGTGCTACGAGGTAAAGTGCCTGCGCTCGCCGCGGTACGGCAGCAAGGTGCACTGCTCGTCGGAGAAGCCGACGCGCGTGGTTATCACCAACTTCGACACGCCGCGGTCCGAGGGGTGGCCGAATAATCACTTCGACTTCCACAACACGGGCTTTAAGAAAATCGCGGCGCTAGAAGCGGGAATCATCAACGTCATGTGGCGGCGCGTGAAATGCCCGCAGAGCACGCCGAAATTTACGGTGAAGGGCAACCCGTACTTTCACGACATCACCGTGTACGGCGTGCCGGGTGTGGGCGCCATTACAGGCGTGTGGGTGCAAGTGGGCGGTAGCGGCGAGTGGCAGAAGGCGCGGCAAAGCTGGGGCGCGCATTACTTTCTGAGCGGCAAGGTGGATTGGAACAATCCGAAAACCAAGGTCCGCGCGCAGATGGCGGAGACGGGCAAATTCATTTACCCCAAGCACGTGCAGGCCGTATGAGTGACGGCGCGCCGAGAGTGGCGTGCAGTGGACGAGCGTGACAGTACTGAATGAATACAAGGGTCTGCTTTTTGTGACCGTAGTGGGACCCCCGCTGCAGCCAAGCTATAGCCATACACGGGAGGAATATGCTTGCACCTGTTGCAAAGCTGTGGAGGAGTATAGGAGGTAGGTAAAAGGACCGGAGGCCGATGTATATTTAAGGTTATCTTACTGTCTGGTTGTTGTTGCTCACTAATGGACTAACATGGTTGTGGAACTTTGTTACATATGGTGAAATATGTGCTGCACAAGCCTTGTTTATCAGAAGCCATTGCCTTGCTCAAAGCTTCCAGTATCCAATCCCATGTGTCTCCTGCTGCTTTCACTCTACCCCTTGGTAAGATGCCGCTTGTGCATGAACGTTTATTGCTTCGATGCCGACACATGCGTTCTCAACTCGAATATCGCAGCACCTCTCGCACTTGGGCCGTTGGCACCGCCACTTTGTCCTCTCCGTCTGCCATCCTTTTGTCCCATTACTACAAGTTCCGTGCAAACCTGGGAGTAGGTTGTCCCTTCAGCTGCCTGCACAATGAGCGCATTTTGCTCTCCTTGCAGGTTAGTCACTTCAGGTTACTGGTACCGTATCACTCCAGTTAGTAGCTCATGTGCGCTTATAATATAATCTATTTTAGCTCATGGGCGGCGCCGCGTATGCGAATGCAACACCCCCATATTTTTTTTTCCTTTTTATACGCGAGTCTAGGGCATAAGCGCATGCGCGTATAAAAAGGAAAATAAAAACGAAATTTGGTTTGAAGGGTAACAAATTGAAGCCCTCATTCAGGCGAACACGATCGTGCAACGTTCACGTGGGTTCGTGCATGAAATGCACGCGAAAACAGCAGTGACTCGATTTCCCACTGCACAAAACCCGTCCCAAAGTAACGCATCTGCCAACGTTGACTCAAAACCTGCCTTTCAGCCCAATCAGGTTGTCATGCGTTGCCAGACAGAAGCATCTGATTCGACCCCTCTAGAAGGGGGTCGAATATGACCTGCCATCGCAGCATGTGAGGGGCCGTGAACCCTCATCTGCGGGTTCAGGCAGGGGGGTACCCGTCTCTCATTGACGAGGACCCCAAGCCGCGAAGGAGAAGGGGTCCCCTGTGAACTTCATTTGTGCTCTCAATCTTGCAGTTAGTGACTCAGTTTTGTTGGGCTGAGTGCCCCTTAGGATCTTTGGTAGGGTTAAACTCTGGGTAGAGTGATGTAGTAGCGGAAGCGTTTAAATGAAGTCCTTGAACCACCTTGCGCTGGTATGTGAGGGCAAAGTAAGTTTATTAAAACAAGCAAGTACAAAGGTTTATATAAGAGTACAAAGAATACGAAGAGATATAATTAAACTGTTTTACTGTTGCGGTTCGATACAGTGCGACTCGGGCAACTGCTCAATGTCGAGTCAGTTGTGTGTCCTTGCTGTCGCGCTGCATTTGTCAAGTCAAAGGTCGCTGACTCGCTGGTGCCTCGATATGCTCTGCTTCGCTTGTGCCTTGGTGTTTCGACACGACAGAGGCGCTTTAAGATTGTTTGTTCCCAACACTCCCCTTCGCTTCTGGAGTGTCGCTGCTGGTGACGTGGCTTTGTCCAGTCAGCAGCATGCAGTACTCGAACTTCTGTTTTCCGAGCTTCTTGGTCAAGTAGTCAGCTGCCATCTCGGACGTGGGACAGTAGGATAGTTCAAGTCTCCCCTTCTCAATCTCGTCTTTCACGAAGAAATATCGCAGAGCGATATGCTTCGTTCTGTTCGCGAATCCATTTTTGTTGGCGATGCGAATTGCAGATTGGTTGTCGCAGAACAGAGTGAAGTTGGGTAACTCGGCTAACTTCGCTTCTTCCAGCAGCTCGCGAAGATAGAGTCCTTCCTTGGTGGCTGAGCAGAGTGCAATATATTCTGCTTCAGCTGACGAGAGAGCAATTAATTCCTGCTTGCTCGATTGCCAGGAGATCGGTCCGATAGGTTCGAGGCGGTAGATGTAGCCGGTGCGGGAGCGCCTGTTGTCGGAGTCGCCAGCGTGATCAGCGTCGACGTAGCCGATTAATTTAGTCGGTGTAGTTGTGTTCTTGTAGTAAGTTAGGCCGATCGTTGAGGTACTGACAAAGTAGTGGAGAGCGCGGTCGAGCTCCGCCAGGTGTTCTGCTTCAGGCTTCTTGAGGTAGGTGGCAAGCTGGCTTGCGGAGTATGAGAGGTCGGGGCGGCAGGTGACAGCTGCGAAGAGAAGGCATCCTAGCTTTCTCTGGTAGTCGCGTATCCCGGCGGATTTGAGTAGAGAGGATCCTTCCTTGTGGTTTCCTGTCGCGTAGCGGTAGGGCGTAGAGATGGTGGTAGGTGTGAGCGCGAAGCGTTTGGCGATGGTGTCGGCGTACTTAGCGGCGTTGAGGTAGATCGCGCCTTCTTCTTCCCGAATGTTCAAGCCGAGATACTGTGTGACGGTAGAGGAGACCGTGAGTGTGAGGTCCCTCTGTAGCTCCCCTTCGAACCAGGTGGTGATGTCGTCAGTGGAGCCGATGTAGAGTAGGTCGTCTACGTAGACGATCAGCAGAATGTAGTCGGTGTCTTTAGTGAGTCGGTACATTCCTTGGTCGTGAGGTAGTTGGCGGAATCCGATGCGAATGAGGCGAGCGTGTAGGTACTGTTGCCATAGCCGCGGAGCTTGCTTGATCCCGTAAAGTGATTTCAGCAGTTGACAGACTTGGTTAGGTTCCCCGTTGGTACCGTGTGGGAGCTCGACGAAGATTTCTGCGTCGACAGGTGCGTAGAGGAACGCGTTGGCGACATCGATTTGCCGTAGCTTCCTTTTCTTCATGGCGGCGATCGCGAGGAGGATTCGAAGTGAGGTATGTCGGCTAACCGGGGCGAATGTCTCGGTGAAGTCCCGTCCGTGCTCCTGATCGAATCCACGCACAACCCAGCGTGCTTTGAACTTCTCAATTGTGCCGTCTGCTTTTGTTTTAACGCGGAAGACCCATTTCCCGGTGAGAATGGTCTTGTTCCTTGCCACGCTGATGGGGACAACTTTCCAGGTGTTCCGTTCCTCCAGCGCCTTTAACTCTCTGTCCATGGCTTCACGCCATTTTTCCCTGTGTTCCCCCCCCAGAGCCTGCTGAACCGTCGCAGGCTCCTTAGGAAGAGTGTTGCCGTGGACTGCGGTGACGAGTCCGAGAATCTGCAGTCCAGTCTGTGAGTAGCGGGGAAGAGTTGCATCCTCGGGATAAGCTGCTTCATCTCCCGCTTCTGGATCAGGTATGAAATTCGGTCCTACTCGTTCTGCTTTGTTGGTGTTGACTGTTGCAGGTGTTACGTAACCGTTGTCGGCGAAGTAGTAGAAGGTTTCGGCGTTGACACTTTCGCGAGGGTTATCTTCGTCCATGGGGACGTCGACGGAGCAGAACGGAAGGGTCCAGCTTCTTCTGATGCGTTGGCCACATTCTGCTCGTCCCAGTCAGCTTCGTCTGCTGCCGAGGCGAAGGCTCGGTCACCACGAAAACCACCTGTGGGATCTTGGTCCTCTTGCAGGTTGGCAAGGTATGTCTGGAGCGTGAGTCGTTCGTAGAAAATGACGTCGCGTGCTGCTACTGTTTCCTTGGAGTGGACGTCAAAGATTTTCCACGCGTTGTAGTTCTTTTCGATGCCGAGGTGTAGTCCCCACTGTGCGCGTTGTGAAAATCGGCCCGCTCGTGCTGCTGGGGGTCGGTACTGTACCATGCATCCGAACACTCGTAACATTTTTGTGCTGCCCTGTTTTCCTGTCCACAGCAGATGCGGTGATGCGTTGTTCGGTAGTGATGAAGATGAGAGCAAGTTGTGCAGCATGACAGCGTGGTCCATCGCGTCAGGCCACTGGTGGTTGGGTAGCCGCATGCCACGCAACAGTTTGCGCATGCTGTTCTGCAGAGTCCTGTTCATTCTTTCTGCTACACCTTGCTGCTGATGGGCGTAGGGAAGAGAGAGGAGCTGCTTGATTCCCCTTTCCGCCAGGTACTGCTTGAATCGCTGAGAGGTGTATTCTCCTCCTCCGTCAGACTGGAAGCTTTTCAGCTTTACGCCCGACTCTCTTTCTGCTACTGGTAGCCAAGCAGCGAATGCTTCGAGGACCATGTCGCGGCTGGGTAGGTTTAGATGCCAGACGTAACGGGTGGCGGCGTCGATGAAGGTGATTGTGTAGTTGTATATTACTTGTCCTGGTTCCCGATTGTACAGGATGTCGCTATACACCTTTTCTAGTGGTGCGTACGCGGGTGTGCTCGGGTTGTGATGAGGAGTGAACGGCCGATGTGGTAAGTCGGCTTCGGGGCAGGTAAGACATGTTCCTCGTGCCCGTTGAAGTTCTCTGCCGTCGAGTAGTAGTAACGAGTCCTTGTCAAGGACTCCTGCTCTTATTGTGTTGTTTAACACAGTGTTGCTTGGGTGTCCCATGCGTGCGTGCCAGATGTCTTCGGAGGCGCGGTGTCCGGGTGAGCGTCGATACGCGTCGGAGTTGGAGTAGAAGCTGGCGGTGAAGTTTGCGCTTCTATGGACTTCCCGTTGAGCCGGATTCAGCTGCTGTGCGGGTGTTGGTGGTGCTCCGTCAACGAGGAGTGGTGTCGTTGTTGCTGCTACTGTTGTTGTTCCTGCTACTGCCGATGATGTCTCTGCTGCTGCCGATGATGTCTCTGCTGCTGCCGATGTTGTCTCTGCTGCTGCCGATGTTGTCTCTGCTGCTGCCGATGTTGTCTCTGCTGCTGCCGAATGTTGTATTGTTACTAACGCACGTGTTCGTTCTGCTTCAGGAATGGTATGTGAATACCAAAAGCCTTCCGGACTGAAGTCGGGGTCGAGATCCGGCGGGTGCGTCCAAGATGTTAAGGTGACGATCCCGTCACTGTCTGCGGTGCCCAGGTCTGGGACGAAATCGAGAACGAAGACATTGTTCTTCAGGACCGCCTTTCCGATGTAGAGGCCGCCCTTCCCGTGGTAC